AAGTCCAACTGAAAGGAGCCTCCATCCTGGAGTAGTCTCCGAGGACATAGATCATTCTGGTCCTTTTGAACTTAGTTCTTCTTTTCAAGCCATAACCTTGAACAATGTATCATAACATCTAAAGCTAAACCATGTCATAACTATGCTCTCATACCAGGGAAGTTAGCAAATGAAATACAAACAAGGTTGAGATTATCATCAAAAGCAACATTTCTCAAAATGGAGGTCATTGAGGAGTTCCAAATGGGTTAGACTATCAAAAGTATCAGAAGTGCAAGAAATACCGTCAGGCTTCATTTATTTGAAACAGAACTCCAGACAAAACAGACAATTTAAATAATTCAATCAGGGTTTGGAGATAATCTGACATTTCAAGTTAGCTGGGAAATGGCAATTGTTTGGAATCACTTGCTATTCTGAATTAACTAATATTGGAAACAGTATTTAAATTGTATTCATAAGGTTTTGTTTTTGTTTTTATTAGTACTTAGGGGTAGAATACTTGAAGAACTGATTTTTTTTAGTATTCCTTAATTTTATTTTTTATATTGTATTTTATTTTTTCCCAATTACATATAAAGACAATTTTTAACAATCATTTTTAAAAATTTTGAGTTCCAAATTTTCTCCTTATCTTTCTCACCTCTCCACTCCCTAAGGTGGTAAGCAATATGATATAGGTTACATATGTGCAATTATGTAAAACAAATTTCCATATTAGTCACGTTGTAAAAGAAAAAAAACAGACCAAAAGGAAAAAAACTATGAAAAAAAAATAAAGTGAAAAATAGTATGCCTAGATTTGCATTCAAACTCCATTAATTCTTCCTCTGAAGGTGGGTAGCATTTTTCATCATGAGACCTTTGGAATTGTCTTGTTTCGTTGACCTGCTAAGAATAGCTATGTCATTTATGGTCAATCATCACACAATGTTGCTGTTACTGTGTACAATGCTCTCCTGGTTCTGCTCACTCCATTTTGCAAGAATTGATTATTTAAAATGTGGTATGGAATCCAAGCATGGGTAGAATAGATCCAGGATGCTCTCTGGGCCTCCTTTAGCTAAATGACTAATGAGTCCTCTGTTACAGAAAGGGTAGGATAAGGTTTTTGATGACATTTCATTGAGTTTTTTTTCTTTGCTTATCAACATACTTTGGGGGCCCACATGAACTAAAATGAAGCTATCAGAGTACATAATTTTCCTTACCCCAGAAGCATTCCTCTCATTGTCATAGTCCCTACTTAATTCAGCTAAGCCCTGCCCCTTCCTGGTCCCTTGTCTTTTTCTATTCTCCTTTTCTACTATATCTTTTGAAACCTTCCCTTTATTTTTAACAAACTCTTTCATCCTAGGTCTATCCACCTCATATTCTTTCTATAATAATCATTATTATAATAATAGCAAGCATTTCATAGTGACTTAAGGTTTGCAAAGTGCTTTACAAATATTATCTCATTTGATCCTTACAAAAACCCTGGCAGGTAGGTGCTATTATTATTATTCCCATTTTACAGATGTGGAAACTGAAGACAGAAGTTAAATAACTTGCCCTGGGAAACATAACTAATAAGTGTCTGAGACTGGATTTGAACTCAATTCTTCTTGATTCTACATCTAGCACTCTATCCACTGCATCATTGCTGCCTCCTTCTATCTTCTGGTTATCGAGGAAATCTGGCCCTCTTAGAGAGCCATCCCTGACCACCTTCTCTACAGTGTGGATGTCTGCTTTTTTCAATGAGGCTGAATCGGGGTTAAGTGACTTGCCCAAGATCACACAGCTAGTACGTGTCAAGTGTTTGGTCTGAGGCCGGATTTGAACTCAGGTCCTTCTGACTTCAGGGCCAGCGCTCTATCCACCTACCTGCCTCGGATGTCTGCTTTTCTCATGCTCCTCGGCCCCATACTGCAACTTCCAGATCTTCCTTCTCTTGCAATCATTCTGCTACCTCTTCTCCTCTTCTCTCTCTCCATTCATCTATCTCACCCAGATCTTTTTCGCTATAATCTACTGGATCCTAGAGTTACTCTTCCTGTTTTCTTAAATTTACAGACTTCCTGGCCCACCTCCAACTTCCTCTTTCCCTAGCTGCTGAATAATAATGAGAGAACGTCACACAATAGAGATGAAATGGGTCTACTGTACTCAAATTATCTAATCTCAAATGAGTCTTCATTCCTACATGTTAATCCTTCTATTCTTTCCGGACTACCTCCACTAGTATTTCAAAAGTTCTCTTTTCTCAAGTTGCCCATATTAGCCTCACCCCACTCTCTCTTAGAAGGTGACTGCCCTTTCTATTTTCCTAAGGAAAAAAAAATCAAGGCCATCCATTCATCTATCATGAGCTCTGTCAGCTCCTCTCTTTCTACATCTCATAGTTCTCTGCAGCACCACCTGCCCTCTATGCTTCTGAGAAAGAGGTAGGCTTTTCCTTTGATAAAACTATATATACCCTGTACAGGTATCCTGGATCCTTGTCTCAGCAATCATTTCTGGTTATCATCAATTTCTCCCTTTCTTTAGGTCCCTTTTCTGATGACTACAAATATGTCTTGCTCTCTTTATCTTTAAAAAATCCAGGGATGATTTAACATAAGGAAAATTATTAAAATGTAATTGATTATATCACAGCAAAATTAACAAAAATCATATGATTATGTCAGTAGATGCAGAAAAATATAATACTCATTCCTTATTGATAAAATACAATACTCATTTCTATTAAAAACACTTGAAAGCAGAAGCATGTACCTAAAACCATCAGCAAGCATTATTTGTAATGGGGATAAGCTGGAGAAGCCTTCCCAATAAGATCAGGGGTGAAGCAAGAACGCCCATTATCACCAATATTATTCAATAGCGTATTAGAAAGGTTAACAATAGCAATAAGAGAAACAAGTAAGTCATTTTAAGTATTATAAATGTTCAAATCAGCTACAAAGGACCTACAAAAGAAGATGCTATCCACATCCAGAGAAAGAACTAATACAAACATATATAGTACGGTTTTATATGTATATGTGTGTGTGTGTGTGTGTGTGTGTGTGTGTGCATATATTAGTGTCTAATGATAGCATTCTCTAGGGTAGGGTGGAGAGGGAGGGAGAAAAAGAATTAAAAGTGCACAACAGAACAAAAGAAAACTTAAAGCACAGAAAAGCAGTGTAGCTTTGAAAACAATGTCTAGTATTTATTACATAGTTTTTTTTAAAAAGTAGGCAGTAAAAAAATGAAATGAAAATTCATGGTTTTATATTGAATCTTTGTTTTATGTTGTGTTGCATACATGGAAATATCCTTTTTCAGTCTTTTTGTATTTAAGTTAAAATGAATAAATGTAAATTTTTAAAAAATCCTTCATTTGAACCCTCCTCTTCTCATACTATTGTCCTAGCTCCTTCTGCCAGCCAAACTCCTAGAAACACTCACTGCATCCACTACCTCACCACTCAGTCATTTCTTTTGTGTGTATTTATGAGTGTTCTTGTTTCTTTTTTAGAAGTTTTTTCATTTAACAATAAATTATTTTCTTTATTTCCCATCTAGCTCTCCCAACCACCAATTGAAAAAAGAAAAAAATTAAACCCTTATAACAAATATTCATAAGCAAACAAGACAAATTTATAAATTGGCCATTTCCAAAATTGTATGTCTGTCACAGAGAGGCTATGATAAGGTTTTTGCATGTTCTTTTTGCCTCCTTCACTTGTTAATATATTCTTTGGCCCACAGGAGCCCAAACATCTTGAGTCCATTATCTCTCTATGACTCATGACTCTAATGGTTCATGCATCAATCATCATAGGCCCTCTGGAATCATGGATACCCACTCATTTTTCAACCCCATAAAATCTAGCTTCTGGCCTTACCACTCTACTGAAACAACTTTCTCAAAGGTAACCATAATATTTCCAGTTGTCATTTCCTTGACTTCTCTTTTGGTTCCATTACCCAACACTCCCCCCACCCAAACCTGTATATTATCTCCTCCCTCAGCCTCTGGGACACTGCTTTCCCCGGTTTTCCTCATACCTCTCTGACTACGCCTTTGACTTCCCTGTAATTTAACCTAACACCAACTAGAAAGAAGCATAAAATAAGGATTTTAGAGTAGGAAGAGCACTTAGAAATCACCTAGTTTCTCCCTCCTCATCTCCACCTCTTGGAATCCCTGCTACCCTTCAAGATGAGGCTCTGGAGCTACCTCCTACAGGAGACCTCTTCTGGTCCCCCCAGCTGCTAATGGCTTCCCCTCTCAAGTTATCTTGTCTCTACTTTGTATGTCTCTTGTACAGACCTAGAGATAGGTGAGTCTATTGCCTCCCCTTGTTAGAACATAAGCACCTTGAGAGCAAGGATTTGTTTCACTACTGCCTCTTATCTCCAGCATCTAGAACAATGTATGGCACTCAGTAAGTATGTGGAAACACTGTCCTATTGCACATCAGTGACTCTTATGTAACTTATAGTTGTAGCCAATATGTGTTGAAAGTAAGGCTTGAACCCAGATTTTCTTGACACCAAAGGCAGTCCCATAGCCACTCTGCCATGGTGCCTCTCAGCCCTACACTATGAACCTTAGAAGTCCCATAAACTGTTGGATTATTCAAGACAATACTAAAGGACTAATGATGAAGCATACTGCCTCCAGAGAAAGAACTGATATTGTTTGAATACAGACTGAAGCATGCTATTTTTTACTTTCTTTCATCCTTTTTTTCTTTCATTAGAGTCTTCTTGTACAAAATGACTAATATGGAAATGTTTTACATGATTGCACGTGCATAACCTATTTACTGTCTCAGGGAGGGAGGAGGGGAGGAAGGAAGAGAGGAATAGAATGTGGAACTCAAAACTTTAAAAAAAAGTAAAAAAATTGTTTTAATAGGTAATTGGGGAAAATTTTATATACATATATATATATATATGTATGTATATATGTATGTTCAGAGTAAAGATTAAAAAAAGTAAAGTAAAAAAAATTTTTTTACCTCCATCTGCAGAGCTTCAGCCAATCCTCTAAGGGCAAACTTGGATGATGAGTATGCAGTAAAGCCAAATAACCCTAATTGTCCTGCCTGGGAGGACACAAAGACAATTCTGCCCATCCTTCTTTCTTTCATGGTAGTTATCACTGCACGGCTGGGGTACACACTGCCCAAATAATTTATATTCATTAATCTCTATGGGGAAAAAAGGTCATAAGGATTATTTGAAAATTTTCAACCCTCAAGCACTTAACACATTCAATTCAATTAGTATTCATTAAACACCTACCATATGCAAGGTACTGCACTAGGTGCTGGGGATCCAATAACAAAAATGAAGGAATCCCTGCCCTCAACTTATATTCTACTGGAAGATATAACACGTAGATAGATAGGTAAATGCAAAACAGCTTTAAGACAGTGGCTTTACTTTAGAGATGAGAAATCTGCCACTCAGAAGTTAAGCAACTCATCCAGGGTCACACAGCTGGTAAATGGCAGAGGCCAGATTTGAACTTGAGTGTCTCTGACCCCAGACACTGTGCTCTAACCACTGCACCATCTAGCTGCCCTAGTAAATGGGATGTTCAGGGAAGGCTCTGCACAGGAACTTGCTGCATCAGAGTTGAGACTTGAAGTAAGCTAAGGATTCAAAGTAGCAGAGGTAAGGAGGAAAACCATTCCATCACTGGGGGACAGTTTGTGTAAAGGCATGGTGATGGAAACTACAGATACTGAGTTCAAGGCCAATTTACCAGGAGGGTAGAGTACTTGAGATAAAGTAATACAGAATCAGTCTAGAAAAGATAGATTAAAGCCAGATTGTAGAAGGCTTTGAAAGCCAAAGAGAGAATTTATACTTTATCCTTGAAGTGGGAGCCATTGAAGCTTCTTGAGTAGGAGAAAGGCATGTGTCAGATCTATGCTTTAGGAAAATCAATTTGGCCACTGAGGATGACTGTGGTAGAAAGGGGAGAAACTTGAAGAAGACAGCACAAGTAGAAGACTACTGCAAGCATAAACATTAGTTGCCTCTCAATAAGAAACTCAAATGTGGAAAAAAAGGACCCTGGAAATTAAACATCATGTCAGTATTCTACCACCTAATACAACGCTACAATCTATTCCACTGGCCTAGAGTCATACACTGGCAACTGAAGCTATTTATGCCCTCAGTAAAAACTGGCCAAACAAGCTTTCTTCGGACAATCTTAGGTGTGTTGCAAACAAAGGTGGGTGGTGATTCTCTTTTTAAAAAGAGAAGTGCTTTGACAAGAAAAAAAAATTCATCGAAAATCCCAACAACACTCGATCTTGCTCAAAGAAAGATAGCTAAGATTCTGCATGTGAATTGGGAATATAGTTTACTTTTAGATAAATCCCATCAACCTAGCTAAACTTAAGAAATAATCTCTAGTCTGAATTTAAAAATCAATCAAGGAATATTATCCCATATATGCAATTTACTATGTAAAAACAGTTGGAATGGAATTCCTTAAATTAAAATAGAAAGAAACCATTTAATTTAGAGAATGAATCTAATATGATATTTGTACCTTCCACATTCATAATAAATCCACATTTGAAGTTCATTATGCCAGAGAATGGCATATTCCCCTACAGGGAATGCCTGGAGGGGAGTGGAAAAGGTTCAAGCTAAGCAAGAAACAGAGGCTCTAGAATATCAGCCTCTTTTCTGCATTATGGCCATGATCTTTTGGGGGAAAAGGCCTGTTTATAAGAAGATGCAAGAGCTAAAAAGCCAATAGGCCCAGAAGAGGAAATTGGGCTCCAAGGGTCAGCTCTAAGTGAGCTTTCTCACTGGACTTGGAAACCAGGATAGAAGTACTACACATCTAGGCCCATCTTCTTCTTAACCTATAAAGAACAAAAAGGAGTTGATGAAAATTAATTTTCAGTGTGAAACTGTTTAATGGGAATTTAATTATTTTGATGGGAATTCATTTTCATCAACTTTACATACTTTACTTCCTCAATCATCTCTCTCAAAATCAAAAACGTACACAAAAACACATGCATAATGCTTATGTCACAAGGCTATTGGGAGGATCAAATTTTTAAAAGTATGTAAAGTGTTCTGTAAAACTTTGAAGTGTTAGCTAAATGCACACTATTATTGTTGTTGTTGTAGATACTTCCACCAGACACACACAAATTAATTTTCTGTAGCCAGCATGTAGACATGCACATATTTCCCCCAGGAATACAGAATCATGGTCATGGAATAATTTTTAAAGTTTCTTTTTTCCCTTTCTCCCAACCAGTACAAAAGCCTACCCCAGGGGTGGGGAACCTGCAGCCTCAAGGCCACATGTGGCCCTCTAGGTCCTCAAATGCAGCCCTTTGATGGAATCCAAACTTCACAGAACAAATCCCTTTAATAAAAGGATTTGTTCTGTAAAACTGGGACTCAGTCAAAAGGCTACACTGAAGACCTAGAAGGCCACGTATGGCCTCAAGGCCTCAGGTTCCCCACACCTGGCCTAGTCAATCTCTTCTGTACTTCTGTTCTTAAATTGGCTGTTTCCAGTCAGCTTCCCTCCCTTCCCTTATCACCTCATGCTTTGACTATTATAGTTTTCTCCTAGATATTTCCTCCCAATCCATTCTAAGTACACAATTACTGGAAAATTTTTATTTCATCAATTGTTTTTTTCATGGGTTAAAAGGAAGATGGATCTTGCCAAGTACCCTTTCTACCTAACTGATAAAGTAGCTTCAAATTACTCTGTTTACTTCCTGATGACTTGACTAAGTGGGAAAGCAGGTGCTTGAGGGGTTAGGAGACTTCACCACTGACCTCAGATCAAGAGAACTGGACTCTAGGTCTCTTGGTTTTCTTAGCTGAAACAAGAATATGTAACTAACATATCTCAAAGGAGGAAGAAGTCACTGTTCAGAATGGGATGGAGACTTCAATAATACATTAAGAAAAAAATGAGTTATCAGGTTAAAAATTGTACTTTAGAGAACATAAAACTAATATAATAATATTATAATATATATAATATAACCTAATAATAATAAAACTAATACAAAAACATTTTATTTTGGGGAAGAAGTGAAACTCTAAACATGCTTCCATGGTGATGGGTCCTATATATAAACTGAGATAAGGGCAGCTAGGTGGCACAGTGGATAGAGCACTGGCCTTGGAGTCAGGAGGATCTGAGTTCAAATCCTACATCAGATATTTACTAGCTGTGCGACGCTGGGCAAGTCACTTAACCCCCAATGCCTTGGGGAAAAAAAAAGTTGAGATGGCTCTAAGAGCAGACATTTATCATTAATCGGTCCATTTTCCTTAATTCTAAAGGACTCAGGATATAGCCTACTGTTCTCAACTAGCCTTATTCCCTCTTAGGCAGGCTTAGAGTGCATTTCATATATTTAATTATTAAAGGGAAAGCATTTGTACTCACTTCAAAATAATTTATTTCAAGATCTTCAAATTTTCCTGAAACCGATGTCCCAGCACAGTTTACGAGCATGTCAACAGGGCCCAGCTTTTCTTGTGCCTAGAAAAAAGGTCATCGCTGCAGGTGTCTTGATTAATGAAAGATGTGAAACTCTTAAAAATGCATGAAAATAGTTGCAAATGCTAACAAATTCTTTCATTTAGCCCAGATAATGAAATAATAAATGTAAAAAGAACATCGATGACCTAGGCCCAGTGGGCCAGAGCTCTTACTTGTTTAATGACGTTCTCCACTTGTCCATAGTCTTGAGATACATCAACAGATATACAAAGCACGACCTGATAAAAAAGAAAGCCATGAAACACATTTAAGCACCTGCTAATCTATTTTTAAATATCTTTACTTTTAAAAGAGATAAGTGCTTAATGTGGAAATATGTTTACAAGACTGCACATGTATAACCTATAACAGACTGCGTGCCTTCTTAAGGAGGGAGGATGGAAAGAAGGGAAGGAGAAAAAATTTGAAAGTCAAAATCTCATAAAAAATGAATATTGGAAACTATCCTTACATGTAATTGGAAAAAATAAAACACTACTTACAAAAAAAAAAAAGAGGCAAGTTTTTTTTTTCAGCAATCAAGTCCAACAAGATTTCTGAATACAAGGATTGGCATGGTATTTGAAACGAGCTAAGAGACCATTTATTTAGTTTCCAGGAAAAACAATCAGAAAAAAATGTGTTAAAAATGTTAAAACTTTAGCAATATTGTATCTGTCAAAGACTGCTCTACCTGTGATCAAGCAGCTATGGCTCCAAATCAGAGGCCAAACATTTAAACTCAGAGAAACCAAGGGCTAGGCAGGTAGCACCTGACCCCACCCCACAGGCAGCTTAGTGCCAAACCAGTTTGAGTTAGGAAAGGAAGGAGCCTGCTCAACAGTGAAGTCCCTGGAGCTTTACTATAAAATAATTTCATGGTCTTGGACAAGACCTCTGAGTCATTTTCATATTCTAGAATCAAATCAAGTTCTCATTCTATGATTCAGCTATTCTAATCAAAACAATGATCTAAGACAATTCTGAAGGAATTATGATGAAAAATGCTATCCACCTCCAGAGAAAGAACTGATGGAGTCTGAATGCAGATTGAAGCATACTATTTTTATTTTTCTTGTGGTTCTTTTTTTTTTGGTCTGTGTTTTCTTTTGCAACATGGTTAATATGGAAATGTTTTGCATGACTCCACATGTATAATCTGTATCAAATTGCTTGCCTTCTCAAGGAGAGGGGATGGGAGAGAGGGAGGGAACGAATTTGGAACTCAATTTTTAAAAAATGAATGTTAATTTGAGAAATTGAGAAATATTTCATGAAATAAAAATATATTGGGGGATAAAAAGTTCTCATTCTATATGTCAGGATCCCTAGTAGGAATCCCACCTCAGACTTACTGATCCAATAAGAAACATTTATTAAGGTTTACTACGTGCAAGGCAAGAAGCAAAGTCAAGGGGGTAGCTAGGTGGTGAAGTAGATAGAGCTCCTGCCTTGGAGTCAGGAGGACCTGAGCTCAAATCTGACCTCAGACACTTGACACTTACTAGCTGTGTGACCCTGGGCAAGTCACTTAACCCCGATTGCCTAGCAAAAAGGAAAAGAAAAAAGAAAAAGAAAGAAGCAAAATCAAAGAGTGAATACAAGAGTGGCCTTTAGGTCAGTAAGACCTGGCTGGCTTAAGTGAATAAGAACTAGCCATTTAACTTCTCAGTGCCCCCAGGCAACCACCTAAGCCTGAAGGTTATAGATAAATTATTGATCTGCATAGGTAGAGGGAGTTTGCACCCCAGAAGGTCCCACTTTTTCCTCCCAAAAATGTACAAAGCACTATGCTAAATTCTAGAGATAAAAAAATAAAAAATAATACAATTTCTGCCTTCGAGGAACTTACAATCTAATGGGGAAGGGGGTAAGAAATGTATACAAATAAGCATACTACAAGGAGAAATATGAAATCTACAAAGATGAAGACCCAACAGAATGATGTGAGAGACCTGAGGAAGAAGGGAACAGCTAGAGAGAAAGCTTCAGAGAGGAGGTGCCACCAGGGATATGTGTGTCTGCAGGAATCACAGTGGATTCCAAACAAGGAGGACAAGGGAATGGTGATGCTGTGGAAAGATTGCTTTTCAGTGTATGAAGTACAGACTAGAGACAGCAGAGACTGAAAGCAGAGAGACTTGTTAGGAAGCTATTTCAGTGAGTCGAGGAGAAAAGGTAATGAGCACCTGAATAACCTTGGTGGCAATGGGAACAAAGGATAGAAGGTGTTGAGAGAAACACAACTGCAATCTGGGGTAGTCTAGAGAAACTGACCAGTTTATCCAAAGGACCTCTGGATCAGAGGTGGCACAGAACAGGCCACTGAGAGTGACAGGAATCCAATCACACCAGCACAGGCCAACTGATTGGCGTCTCCTCAATTTCTAATTCTCTGCCACCACATAGAGAACTGCTATAAATATTTTTGTACAAATGGGTCCTTTCCTTTTTCTTTGATCTCTTTGGGATATAGACCTAGTAGAGGTTTTGCTAGGTCAAAGGGTATGCATAGCTTCATCACCCTTTAGGCACAGTTCTAAATTGTTCTCCAGGATGACTGGACCTGACTGATCTGTTTCAGCCTTGACATTCTACGGTGTAATTGAGGAAAAGTTTTCGGGTAGGGGACCAAATGAAAAGAAAATACTGTCACTGGGTACATCAGATAGGATGCTTTCCCCAGATGAATCAACTACAATAAATTGTTCTCAGTTCCTAAGAAATCAAGACAGAAACAATTCATTTCCATAAAATAAAATAACTTCAAGGATTAGCCTCAGCTCAACATATACAGGTCTGTTTTTTTTTTTTTAATCAACTAGCACAAAACATAAAACATCAAAAGGAAAAGGGATCTGGAAATCACATGATCAGATTTTAAAAATAATTCTTTTTGCTGTAGGTTATTTTAGATTGGCTCTAAACCATTTACCACAGGAAATCCTTTGGCTAAAATCTGCTCATCTACCAGTAGCAAAGAAGTTATGTGAGTGATGTAATAAACAGGCTTTCATATCCAGCAACTGGGCTAGGTACTGTTTTCTCAACCTTGCATCCCTCTATTAATCTCAAGCAGGAGTTGATAATCCTTTTGTGATAATCAATAAGCATTTATTGAACACCCATCTGCCAGGCACTGTGACAGGTGCTGGAAATACAAAGACAAAAAATGAAATGTTCCCTGCCCTCAATGAGCTTACACTCATTAATAAAGAGATACTCTTGTTTCTCATTTGAAGCCTTTCAACTGATAAGGGGGATAAGGGTGCTTAGTAGCCTCTAATGGGGAAGAACACAGGGACAGATGGGGAAGATCTTTGGGAACAGGAGATATGCCTAGGAATATCCTCTCCAAAGCAGCTTCTAACCTAAAACACCCCCATGTCAGTCATAAATGCCATATGACATGGCAGGAGGGGTGGAGAGGACAGGAAGTCTTCTGGCTACTTGCATGCCAAAAGAAGCATGTTCTGCCCAAAACTCACAACTTTTCAAGCGCTTGCACATCAAAGCATAAGAGAATCTGTATAAACCCGATGGTGACCCAAGAAGCAAAGAATCTGTTCTAGGTAGTTCACTCTATTGTAGGGACCTGAGTGGAGGCAGACATATATGAGAGGGGCACTAGACATAGCCTGAGTAGGATGATGAAGTTTAAGGAAGGAAAGAGAAAAAAAAAGAAAGAAGGGAAGATCCCTTGATAGTACATAGAAAAGGAATTCATTAATTACCAAAAAACTTCTATCAACTTTTTTTTTTTTAGTAACTGGACATCATACAATGATTTTATATTTTTTCTTCTGAGTTTCTTTCAAAACAGGGCTGAATATTCTTAGCACTAACCCCCCTCAAAACAAACAAAAAGTCACATCATTAAGAAAAAGCATATACTCCACAATAAAAAAAGAAAAGATACTAATTATGGAGAATCCATAACTCACTAAGAGTATCTGAAAAGTTGAAGTTTTTAACCCCACCCTGGGGTTAAACCTTCAAACAGTTTTTAGAAGCCAGCTCCCAGGGGTCTCACCTACTTAGATACCCTAAATTCTAAAATTCCCCTATACAAGCAAAGATATGACCAAGATATACAGTAAAAGAAGGCATTCCTTGCCACTTGCCCCACAGGAGTTTGTGTGGTCATTCATTCAACAAATAACTGAGCTCAAGCCTTGCCTGGGAAAATGTCTCTCCTGTCTGAAATTCTGTTATCTGAACATCTATATTTCTGTCTATATGTGTCTTCTGTTAATGATTCCAGTTCCAAAGCAACTAAAAAGAATTTCAGTCACTTTAAAACAGTCTAACAGGCACTTTAATCAGGAAAATTCTATAAACTTTCAAGTAAGTGTTAGTAGTTGAAGCCACACTTTTACCTTGGACCAACCACAGGGTGATTAGTACATAAAAAGGGTACAGAGAAGTGATTTACCTGTTTATCATTAATAGAGTGTTTTTCAATTTCTTTCTTTGCCTGGAGCAACTTGTTCTAAAACCAATGGAAAATAATTAGTTTGAGTGATTTCTTTTGTTTCTTAGAAAGAGGGAGGTAACTCATAACATAAACATTTACTAAATACTTAGGGGAAAAAAACCTTAGAAAAGAACAATATGACCCTCACCAAAACTCTTCACAATCCTACAACTAGCACATTATAACCAAGCCTCTCTATAATGTTCTGAAATCTCAATAGAATAGCATTTAACCTATTCCCTCATTTATGATTGTTTGTCTAGAACTGTCATTTCCAAACCCTACCCCACACTCAATTTTTTTGTGTTATATATTCATGGAACCAATTGATATTCTACAGGCTATGCCTACAGGAAGAGCCATTTCTTTTGTCTAAAGGCCCCAGTTTATTAAACTTACTCCTGTAAGAGAGCAGAAACAAGAAAAAAAAAGATTTTTTCAAAGCTTGAATTACAGTTTTAATAGATGAGTGAACATGTTGCATATGAATATTTAAATCAGTCCTATTTCATTATGCAAAGTCACAAAAACAAGCATATTGTGACTTAGCATTGCTCAAATTACTATGGACATGAACTTATAATTCCATATCCAGGACTTTATATCTTTTGGCCTTCTCAAGTTATATACCCTGAGGAAAAATCTCTAAATCAAATGGCATGGATATTTAAGTCATTTTTTAAGCATTATTTGAAACTACTTTCCAGAATGGTTGGACCAATCTTATAATTTCCTATCAAACAAGACAAGTGTATTCTGATAAGTCTGCAATACAAAGAAACCATGTATTTTACCCTTATGCACCCTAAAGGCAAATACTGTGAAATTTACTTATACCTCTTCTATTAACTTTGTAAGTTATTGTTTTGCATATGACTACAGGTCAACTGGTGAAATAGTCATAGCTAGATAATGAGAATACTCTCAAATTCAAATGGATCTGGTATTTAATTGAATCAGAAATTCCTTTCCATGATGCAGATCACAACCTATACATGCCTGGCAATATTGTGTGACCCGTGCCTCTCTCCTCCCATAAGTTCACACTCCAAGACATCAACCAACCCAAAGTGCTGGAGCCTTTCCTCACTGTCTCCTAATGTAGTCAGGGTAACAGCAAAGTACCCTGTGCATCTGTCAACCCTTGATCTCTCACATGATCAGCCCATCTTCTACCATATGATTCCTTGATGATATCTTTTACTTTCAGTCTTCAGGGCTTCACATTGGTTGTATGGTACCACCTGTTTGTGCCTCCCATGGCCTCTCCATTGCCTCCTGTGTAAGATTCATTTTTACTTCTTCACAGACTGTATATTCTATGCCTAAATGCCATACAGCAACATAGTATTAAAAAGGATGGACCATTGCTTTCATGGGAAGTTTTGGGGTCAATAAAAAAGCTTTATAATTTCCTGAAAGGCAATCCGAACCATTCTTTTCTTCCCTGTCATCCAATTGTACTGTACTGTCTGTTATACACACACACACACACACACACACATACAGACAAGCCCTATAGGTTGTCCATTCAAATATATGTTGTAATCTGGGAAATAGACATTCTCCATCTTTCCTGTAAGGATGGGTAGGCCAAACTCTCTCTAGGACTTGATATAATCAGTAAAAAGTCACCTGAAAACCAGCTGTCCTGACTACCTCTTGCCATTGGACTCTGATGACTCTGGAGGAGAGAGAAAAGCTAATGACTTGACACAGCCCTGCCTCATTCTACTCCAATTGACTTGCAAGTCAAGGCATCACCTTCTTGATGTCATTGGTCCACTCCGAGAACAAAGGACGAACAACAACACTTGAAAACAGGAGCTTTGGAAGGATGGCCACATTCATAGAAAATCCCTCTTCAGCCTAGACACTGAACTGGATTTATTCCACCACAGAGATGAACATCACTGGCAAGCACTGATGTCTTGTCTGGTGTTTATTATCACAGGGTTATTTCTGTCACATCTCTCAAGGAATCTTGAATAATTTTGATGGATGGATGGGAGACATTTTGTTGTAAAAGAGCCTATAAAGTGGCATTCTCTTCTACCAATCAATCAACAAGTGTTTATTAAATTCCTTTTGTTTGCCAGATGCTGTGCTAAGCCCAGGGGCTACAGTTACAAAGAATGAAACAATCCCCATTCACATTCTAATGGGGGAAACAAGTGCATATATGAATATGTACAGCATCAATATAAAGTGAAAAAATAGAAATATATTACATATAAGGTAATTAAATATAAGATAGCTTGGAAGGAAGGAAAAAAGGAAGGAGGGAGAGAAGGAAGGAAGGAGGGAGAAAGGGAGGGTAGAAAAGAAGGAAGAAAGAGAGGAAACAAGCATTTTAAAATTGAAAAAATTTTAATTGTTTTTATTACTATTTTCTGTTTCTTACATCATCACAGTTATCCCAAATGTCTCCTCCAATCCCTCCCAGAAAGTCATCCCAAATAACAAATAGTATTTCTAGAGAGGGGGAAAAACAGCACAACTGAGTCATATACTGAAAAAATCTGAAAACATGGTCAATCTGTAACACCTGTGGATTTCTTGGCTTCCTAAAGGGATGGATTAGAAGTGTGTCCTCTCCTATCTCCTCATTTGGGTCCTGCTTGATCTTACATTCACTTTTGATTTTTTGATGTATAGTTGTTCTTTCCATTTACATTGTTGTAGTTACCAAGTATATTGTTTTCTGGGCTCCACTTACTTCACTCTGCATCATTTCATGTAGATCTTTCCATGCTTCTTTGTACTCACCACACACATCTTTTCTTACAACACCAATATTCCATTACATTCATGTACCACAATTTGATTAGCCATTCCCCAATCGATGGGTATATCTACTTTGGGAAACAAGCATTTATTAAGTGCCTACGATGTGCCAGGCACTGTGTTAAGTACTTTAAAAGCAGCATTTTAATTAATTCTCACAACAACGCTGAAAGGTAAGTGCTATTATTATGCCCACTTTATAGTAAAGGAAACCTGAGTCATACAGAAGTCAAGTGACTTGCCCAGGGCCATACAGCTAATATAGGTAGAAAGTTTATTGACATTCTCCCGGTCTTCTTTTTCAGTACAAATAAGGTACAAGATATTTTCTCCCACACCTTCTGTAATTTTCTTGTTCAGATACTTTGTATCAGTCCTTCAATGTGCTCACAAATGTATCATCTCCAGTGTGGAACTCCTCTTGTATGTATTTAGTTCAATCTGGCTGTTTCCCCAACGTTTGTTATTTTTAGTACCATTTCTACCCCACCACATGCACAGCAGGATTGTGACATCAGGGTCCTAGTGTAGAAGATCCCCTGTGATCATGATTTTTACAAATCTTCTCGACTTTTCTTCTTTGTTGTATTCTCTTCATTTTCATCACCAAAAATGCTTTGGATGACTTGCTTGGTTGGATATCCAAGGTGTTGTTGGTGTTGTTTTTAACTAGTTTTATTCTCTATTGTTTCTCTCTGCTTTGGGATATTGCTCATAACTATTATCTTTCTTCACAAGATTTTGTAAATGAGTTTACAAATAACCTTGTAAATAATTTTACAAATGAATGTTGCATTTAGCAGTGATCTTTCTCTGAGAAGTAACTCAAACGTTTGCTAAGATGCCTCCCAGGTACTTTTGGTCTCCCAATTGTAACAATTAATTTATATTGGTTAAATTTCTGAACGAAAACATTATTGTCAGTGTCAGTTCCACGGTCCAGTTCACATTTGATAGGTTAAGTTGTTTCAATTGTACCCTGTTATCTTTTTCTCATTGTTATACTTTATTCTTGTTTTTAACTAATTCTGATCTTAGCTCTGACCAGTCCATGGTCTGACTATACACAACGGATCTAAGGGTGTCAGAAAGAGGCTTGATACATTCTATGCCTCTTGGATACATAAGTTGCATGTATAAGCTGATGAGATCCCAAAAAACAGCAAGCAAAAGATAGACTTGGGCTATTCTACTCCTGGTTCTGCCAATTACAAGCATGAGACCCTATTAAAATTATTAATTCATGCCATAACAAAATGTACTGGCTCTCATCCTATAAACATTCAAAGTATAAGCAAGCCCAGCAACCATGTTAAGAGCCCTCTCAGACCATTGGTAGTCTGAGAGCAAACCACACTTGTGGATATAAAAGCCATTTTTAGCAGAAGTACATGAAGGTTCACCCTGTAAAACTTGTGAGTGAATTGCTTAGTTTAAAATAATAAATGAAAGGGGCCGCTAAGTGGCGTAGTGGATAGAGCACCAGCCCTGGAGTCAGGAGGACCTAAGTTCAAATCTGACCTCAGACACAAAACACTCACTAGCTGTGTGCCTCTGGGCAAGTTACTTAACCCCAATTGCCTCACCAAAAATAATAATAATCAATGAAGAATTTTACCTCATCTCTTGCAACCAAGGTTATGAATGCCCCTTGCTTATAACACTCAATCGCAATACATTTTCCAATGCCACTGGATCCTCCAGTAACCTAAAAACAAACAAACAAAAACAAATAAATGCAATAAGATCTCAATATTTCATTTTCTTTGACAGGATGTTTACTTAAGATAGATATTTATCAAAAGATAAAAACAGAGATACAACAGAAAACACACTGGACTAGGAGTTGATACACCTGGTTCTATAAAAATGTGCATAATAATCCCTGTCTACATCACATCAAACATATGAGAAAGTGGTTTACAGACCGTATAACCCTAAACAGATGTAAGGAAGCAACACTGTAAGGGATAAACATTTGAGCTATCTTGTAGTTTCTAGAAATTCCAAAAGTAAAGATGCACTTGATCCTAAATAAAAATGTTTTCAAGAAACACACGGCCAGTCTCGAATTGTAAGTCAGACACCTACAACTATTTACCCTTAAGCCCTTTCCAGGGGAGATGTTTTGTAACTCTAACAAATAGTAACTTGTTCTGCTTCTGTGCCCAATCTAAATAAATGTGACTCTTCCTCTGCTATGTCAAAGTTGCAAAAGCTCAAGACTAGAAGGGACAGACCCAAGACTGTTCAGTCCAGTTCACTCCTAAAGAGGAATTCCCTCGACAATATCCCTACCTGATTTTATTTGGAGACCTCCAGTGATAAGGTCTTTCCGTTGCCTCCCAAGGCAGCCCCTGCCCCCTTTTGGACAGCACTAGCCAGGACTTCTTTAAGGGGAGCCAAATTCTATTTCTCTATAAGTCACCGTTCCTACGTCTGCCCTCTGGGTCAGGCAGAAGAATCCCTCTTTCACATGACAGCCTTTCAAGTACTTAAAGACACCTGTCCTATTGACAGTAAGTCTTCTCCTGGCTAAACACCCCCTTTTTTCAACAGCTAGGTGGCACAGTGGATAGTGAGATGTACCTTGAGTGAAGAAGTCCTGAGTTTGAATCTGGCCTCAGATGCTCATTAGCAGTGTTGCTTTGGGTAAGTCACTTACCCTCTGTTTGCTTCTGTTTCTTCATCTACAAAATGGGGATTAGAACAGCACCTACCTCACAGGGTTGTTGTGAGGATCAGACAGGATATATTTGTAAAGCACTTTGCAAACCTTAAAGAGCTATAAAAATGCTAGCTATTATTACATTATTGTAAATATTAGATATCATTATTGTTCAACCAACTACCCTCGAATGGCACAGTATCCTGTATAGCATTTCCTTTCCCTTTTATCTCACCTAAAATTCGTACAATTAGAGGCATGCCTGGTTAAATTAGAAAGGCCAGGCACTTTTACAAAAGATCACCATTAGAATTCAGAATTAGTCCAATTCATTTCAATTAATGATGCTAAGTATCAGTGTCCAGAACACTGTGCTAAGACAGTAGGGAGATACAAAGTTTATATAAAGCACCTTCCCCATTCTCAGAGAGCTTACAATCTAGTAGGAGAACAGGAAACATGTGGAAACATATATGAAAAGTGCATTGGAGAGGTCAAAACATAATGTGAGATTTAAAAGGGAAAAAGCCATTACTAACTTGTAGAAACCAGGCAAGTCTTCCTGAAGAAGGTGGCATTTAAGTTGAACTTTAAAGAAAGGGGGAGAGAGGGAGAGACAGAGACAGAGAGATCTTCTTGGGTCAGAAGGCTGCTGGATCATTGTAGAGAAGACAGGGCATGATAGAGAAAGAAGACCACAAGGTCACAGTAGAGCCCAGAGAAGAATGAAGGAGCAAACACTGCTGGCCTGGACACTTTCTTAAAATGGCAGTTCCAGAAGGAACTGATCAATCAGAAATGACTATGAACTTTTCTTGGTAGGCAGTATAGGGGTTTTGAGCAACTGACTAGATCAATGCATAAGAAACATGTCTGAAAGCAGACTGATGACTGAAGAAGACATCTGAGGGAAGAGCAAAGGTGCTATATATACAGCTATTGCAATGGCCCAGGCAGATACTAATGAAGAGCACTATTAGAGTACAGGTAGCATGAATGGAACAAAAGGGATGAACGTGAAAGGCATTGTGTACGATTGACTGGATTCAGTAATGAAGAAAATATGAGGTGAAGGAGAAGAAAGGAAATCAAAGCTATTACTGTAGTCCCCTGTTATACAGCTAATGTTCCAGATATGTGTCTGAGTAAATGAAATTAACTGGGTAAATGATAATGCCTACCCATTGTTTGTGGAAATGATAATACCACTGACAAATAGGGAAGGAAGAGTAGATTTGGGGGGAAAATAAGATCAACTTTGGGTAAGTTGACCTTGAAGTATCAGTTGGATATTCAGTTGGAGATGCTAGTCTGGAGGTCAGGTGAGAGGTCAAGGTCATTCACTTCAGTGAGTATTTATTATGTTTATTATGTGCCAGCCTCTGTCCTGAGTGCTGAAGATACAAGGAAAAAAAAAACCACAGTCCCTACTCTCAAGAAGCTTATCACCTTCTATGGGAATATGCAACATAATACACAGGTAAATACAAGGTAATTCCAGGAGGGAAAGAGGGAACCAGGAGAGGCTTCTACATATAGCCCCAGAGCTGCTCTAGATGAAGGAACTTGGAAATGAAGAGAGAATATCTTCCACATAGGAGATAATAGCCCTTGAAAAAGGCATGGAGATAGGAGACAGCATATTGATTTCAAGAAATAGTTAATAGGTCAATTTGTCAGGAGTATAGAGTATGTGAAGGAGTAGAACCATAGGATAATTAATCTAGAGGAGGAAGAGATCTTAGATAGCACCTAATTTAACCCCTCATTTTACAGATGAGGACCCCCTCTGAGCTGCAGAGGGATGAAGTGATTTGCCTAAAGAAAAGGGAAGAGAACAAGCATTTATAAGGCAGCTATTGATTTTTCAGTTGTGTCTGACTCTCCATGACCCCACTTGGAGTTTTCTTGGCAAAGATACTGGAGTGGTTTGCCATTTTCTTCTCCAGCTCATTTTACAGATGAGGAAACTGAGGCAAAACAGGATTAAGTGACTTGCCCAGGGTCATACAGCTGGAAACATCTGAAGCAGGATTTGAACTCAAGAAGATGAGTCTTCCTGACACCAGGTCTGTCACTCTGTTCACTGCACCACCAGGCTGCCTATAAATCAGCTAAGCACTTTACAAATTTATCTCATCTGATCCTCATAACAACCCTGAGAGGTAGGTGCCATTATTATTCCCATTTACTAGCTGAGGAAAATGAGACAGACAGCAGTTAAGTGATTTGCCCACAGCTCGAAAGGTCTGAAGCAGGATTTGAACCCAGGTCTTCCTGCCTTCAGGCACAAAGCTCTATCCACTGCACCACCTGGCTGCCTCTACAGTAATGGCAGAACCAGCATCTGAACACAGGTCTTCTGACTCCAAATACAAGATGTACTCTATTACCTCATGCATTCTTAACTTTTTCTGTGTCATGAACCTTTATGGCAGACTGGTGAAGCTTATGGAGGCCTTCTTAGAATAATGTTTTGAATGTATAAGACAAAGTACTTAGAATTACAAAGGAAATCAATTACATTGAAATATAGTCACCTAAAACTTTTTTTTTAAGTTAATAGATCTCAGGTTAAGAACTTCAGCACTATACCATGTGGCTCCAATATGAAACAAGCTTGGAAATGTAGGTGGGATCCATGTTATCGATAAATTTTAATGAATATTTAGGAGTCATTGGGCAGCTGGGTGGTGCAGTGGATAGAATGCCAGGCTTGGAGTCAGGAAGACCTGAGTTCAAATCTGATCTCAGATACTTGTTGGATTGTGACACTGGGCAAGTCACTTAAACTGTTTACCTCAGTTTCCTCATCCGTAAAATGAGCTGGAAAAGGAAATTGCAAACCATTCCAGTATCTTTGCCAAGAAAACCACACATGCGGTCATGAAGAGTCAGACATGACTAAACAACAAAGGGTAATCATCACAGAGATGACAGTGTCCACTAAGATTGTCAGAGGAGTGAGTGTAAAGAGAGAAGACGTGGTTGAAGACTGTACACCTTGAGAGACACTCAGGTCAGGGGGCTAGAAAGATGAGAAGCCAGACCAGAAGTGGTGAGAGATGCAGAAGAGAAGTGTAAGAGTGTAGAAACAGATATCCAAAAGCAGTGCTCAACAATGTGAAATGCTGACAGGGTTTCCTGCCTCCATTTTCTCTTCCCTCTAATTATACCATACTCTTTTTCTTAACATATAGATTTATTCATTCTCTTCAATGAACAAAAGCCATGCACAAGTCACTGATCGAGGTCCTTGGAATACAAACACAGACGTGAAAATAGTCCTTCCCTGTCCTCCAATAGCTTGTACTCCACTCCTCTGCTCTAAAACATTGAATAGCCCCTTTTGCATTCTGAGGAAGATGTAAATTTTTGTGCCTGGTATTCAAGGTACTCCATAATCTGGCACCATCCTACCTTTGCGGCCTTATCTCATCTTATTAACCTCCTACCACTGTCCTTCTTTCCACTGAGGTTCACACCTTCCATGTCATCCTACACTCCTCACTCTCAACTCACTTCCTGTCAGTTGCCAGATTACGTGGTTTCTATATCTACAACATACAATAATAGTTATATAGCCCTTACTCTGTGCTAGACACTGTGCTGAGTGCTTTACAATTATTGTCTCATTTGATCCTCATAACCACATTGGGATGTAGGTGCCACAATTATCCTCATTTATGGTAGAGGAAACCGAGGCAAACAAAAGTGAAGTGACTTGCCCAAGATCACAAAGATATTAAGTGTCTGAGGTCAGATTTGAACTCAGGTCTTCTTGATCCCATGCCCAGTGCTACCTCACTGTACCTAGACTTAGCTTCTTTCTATTCACACAGCCACCACTTAAGTTCAGGCCCCTCTTCACCTCTCACCTGGATTATTGCAATAGTCTCCTGATTGGTTTCCCACCTTCAAGTCTTTCCCTAATCCAAACCATCCTCCACAGAGCTGCTAAAAGGAATTTCCTGAAGAGCAGGTCTAAGTGGTATCAATGCCCATCCCCACCCCCACTCCTCAATAAACTTACTGGTTCC